CTCTTCGACCCCCACCAGCAAAGGAAACTGAGGCTTGACTATCTTAGGCACTCAGTGACAACTGGAGAATGTTCCACCTGAGGACAATTTGGGCCTGAGAAAAACCTGAGAGCATCAGAGATTCTCCCTCAACCACCAGTTAATTTGCCCAAATCAAGAGATCCAAACCTATTCACCTGGTCAGTATCCACTCCCTAGTTGGAAAGATCACAAGGTCTCTAGCAACTAATTAATAGGAGTTTACTGGTGGTATAATTGTGGCTTGCTCTGATGCTCTGAGCAGTCAGAAAGGCCTGTTCAGTAGATAATTTGGAGTAAGGAGGCTGAAGTCTCTTTCCCCTCCTTACTCACGCTTCGCCGCTGGACTATGGTAACTTCACTCTCAGCCCCACCAATAGTTTTTGTTGACCCAGACTCTGTAACCCAGTCCTATCCAATGGGTGAGTGAGTCAGGGTTTTGTGTCTATCAGAGTCCAGGTAAGGTCAATGAGTTCATCAGGGTTTTGTGTCTGACAGAGTCCCAGTAATGCCAATGCCTTCTCCACTTGGTGACCACTCTTTGTGGCCAGCCAGCAGGGATAACTGAAGCCTATCAGCCTCAGGCACTCAATGGGAGCTGTAGAATATTCCACTTTGGTTCAATCTAAGCCTGGAATTTGTTTTCTTGAAGTCGTGGTTTGCCTCAGTGGGGAGGATGTGTGTTTATCTATCTCCTCTGTCAGTTCAGCTCCCCACTTTCAGCTTCGTTGGGTTCTTCCGGTGGCTGTCTCTCTCCCTGGACTGATGTTTATGTTGAAAGCTAGCTCTAGTCAGCTGTCATCCGCTATTCCTCCAAATTCTTATTGAATGTGAAATTTTTAGTTAGGGAATATAGCCAACCCGGAGATTTAGCAAAGTACAAAGTACATTGAAACAAGGCAGACAAATAAACAGACTAAAATGCTACCAGACATACAAGCACTCCAATGCCCAGACACTCAGCCACATGTAACAAACAGAAAAAGAAGTAAACAGAGCAACAGACAAACCAGTCAACTAACAGATCAAAAATGAAAGAAGGGAGAGAGAAAAGTAAAAAAAAAAATAGTGATAATAAAGGATAACCACAGAAATGTTGGTCGTAAAATGATAGAGCAAACAAATAGGAAAGCAAACAATCCAAGAAGAGAAAGTATCAAAATATATATATATAATAAAAAGCAAAAATTAAAAATTAAAAAAAAGGAAAAGATAAAAAAGGGAGTGCACCACTAGGAAAATTACCTTTTTTTTTTTTGAGTATATACAAACAAGTCTCTTTTTCAATGCGGTGGGTTTCCGGTTTAAAAATATATATATAATTGTGCTGCAGTATATTTTCTAGACAACAGGTGGCGCTGTGAGTGGTCCATACGCTAATACCAAAAATAGGGGAAAAGAGAAAGAAAGAAAAATATATATATATATATGGAGAATCTTTGCTGGCAGGATGCCAGATTCTCCCTGCAACAGTTCCCGCAGAGTGTTGGGTGTCTTGGATCAACTTCAGATGCTGGAAGGCTCCCTGCAGATCATATTGAGCTCTCCAGGCTTCTCGGGGAGGTGTTATGGAGACGACATTTTGGAGGTTTTACAGTACATCTGGTTCCTGGCTGGCAGCCCACTTCTATCTGTCCTGCGAACTTGGGACACAAGTTCGCACTTCACCAGACTTTCACTCAACTCCTAATTTCCCCTCGAACAGAAAACCATTGTGGTCCGAAGGAAAAAAGCTGGGGCCGCCCCTTTTGCGGTCCGTGTTCAGTTTTTTTCCAAAGTGGGAGGGGCTACAGCCACAGCCAGCGCTGCCGCTGTCTCCGCCCATTGCAGAGGGACGTTCAAGATTTTTCGGTGTTTGTAGGAAGGGAACCGATTCTGTGCACTCAACTCCTGGTTTCCCCTCAAACAAATTTATGTGATCCAAGGGAAAAGAGCTAGAGTGCTCCTTTTGCCCTTGGAATTTAGTTTGTTTCTGATGGGGGAGGGGTTATAACTGCTGCCACTAGAGCAGAATGTTCAAAAGACTTTTCAGTGTTTGCAAGACAGGTACCGATTCATCCTGCCGGTCACCGCATCAGTCCAGCTCCAGACAGACTTCCAAAATTACAGGATGGATCGGTTCCCAAGCAGAGTACCTTCCCCTTGAGTTTCTGTCTGAATGCCTGGATCCCTAACACCCCAAACTGGGTCCAAATGTCTCCCATTTCTGGCCACCAAATTCTGCCCGGGGAATTCATGCCTCACCACACTCTCCGCGAGACATGCAAACTCCCCGCGAATTGGGCACAGGAGCCTTTCTTGGGGGAGGGATCGGTTTCTGTCTCAGAAAGCAAGCCCCGCGACCTAAGCCAAGGACCTCTCACCGCAGGTGGCAGATGGCGCCGTTTCAGCTGCTGCCCTGAGTTTTTTCTGGCTGACACTGTAGTTCTGAGCTACGCTTCCAATACAGCAATTCAGCTCTTTGCTGCTCGCCCTGCGCTGCTTGTCTGCGCAAGAAATCCATGCAGAAGAGATCCCACAGGCCCACTCTCACCTGAAACCACCAGGAGAGTTGACTCAGGGATGCATCTCCTCTGCCATCTTGCTCCGCCTCCCAGGGAGTTCATATTTTAATGTGAACCTGTGATGCTGTTTTTCTCTAGTTCACCTGAACACAAGAAAGCCCATGTCCTGGCATGATAACGTGGAAGAACCTGAAGATGGTAAGACTTGAATATGAAAATGATATTAAGAAAGAGCACAAAAAGCCCAACTGGCCTCTAGTTACTCTTCCATGAGGGATACAGATGCAACTGGGGATGTGGATGAATGTAGAATATAACAGCTGATGGGTAGACATCAGGCAGGAGGACGTGCTATCTGCCTTATGTTAGGTATATGCCCAGCCCAGTGCCTGACTGCTGAGTCACCTCTGCTCACTTCATTCTCAGTCATCTTTCTGAGTTAGACATTCTCCTCCCATTTTGCAGATGAGAAGAGTGAGGCCCAGAGGAATGAGGCCACCTGGTAAACTAGTAGTGGCACTGAATCCAAATCCCAGTCCCATCTCAGTATGGATCTGCCTCTCTGTCTGAAGACTTGTAGGGTAGAAGAGCTGTGGAGCTTCAGATACGCCTGGTGTCAGCAGCCACACTCATTCAGTACAGAGGGATGGGATCTGCCTCCACCCCTCCTTCCCTCTCATTCTCTCTGTTGGGCTCCACTAGCTACACTCACTCATGCCCCAGGGCTTTGTTTTCCCTACCTGGTTTGTACTTTTCCTCTGCCTCTCCCCAGGCCTGGTCCTGCAGTAGCCCTTACCCATACCTTCCTTCATGGCATATGTCCCTGCCTGCCACTGTTGGTTCTGTTTGTGACCCTAGATGATGTGTCCTCTTCCCCCATCCAGACTGCGAATTCTAGGAAAAGCTTCCCCTGAGCTTTGGTGTTTACTGAGGACAGGAGTCACACTCACTCATCTGGGGGGAAGCCAGGGTGTTAGACATCAGAAATGACATCTGCCTCACTCAATCCTCCTCCAGGGCCCATAACAGTGCCTGGCACACCATCAGGGTTTGCCCCATCATAGCTGAAAGCCAAGCAGAAAGACCAGATGTCCCCATGTCAGGTCCTGGGCAGCCTCAGAGGTTGAATGCTCTGCTCTGCAGAATGATGTGGCCAGAGTAAAGAGCACAGGGACACTCATCAGTCCCAGATCCTCAGTCCTTCATAACTATGACCTCCTCTCCTAGACAGGTTTATCAGTCTTATTCACCATGCTGCCAAAGGACCAAAGATGAAATACTCAGAGGCACAAACTGAAAATCAGGAGTATGGATGGCACTCTGAGCCATTGGTGAGTGTGACTTCTGTCCTCAGTAAATGCCAAAGCTCAGGGGAAGCATAGGTGGTGACCAAGAGAAGAGAGTAGGGAGCCAGACATGCCTGGATTTCAGCTTTGGCTGCCACTCGGTAGCTGTGGGCCCCTGGGAAGTTTCTAAGCTCTTGTATGACTCTGCCTCTTCACAGAGGAGAGAGTACAGCACTTCGCTTGTTAAGTGATGCTGATTTTAGGAGAGGGGGTATCTGTGCAGTGCTCAGAGCAGAGCCTGGCACAGAGGGAACCCTGTGCACATGTTAGGTAAATAAAGGCAGCTGATGGCAGATGCCTGAGTCTGCAGCTCTCGTGACCAGGAGGGTGGGCTTGGCATGTCACCCACATCTGTGAGTTCTGCTCTCTCATCTATAAGTGCAAATCTTAGAAATAGTGCTCTCCTTGTTTGATTGGAAGGATACAGCTAGCCACCAGGGAGCCCAGGAAATGTAGTCTTGAGCTCTGAAACATGCTATATGAGAAAGGGCTTCTATTATTAGGAAAAGCAGAAATCAGATAACACAGCCTGAAGACATTTCTAACCCACTTTCTAGCTGTGTGACCAGAACCTCTCTAAGCCTCCATTCCCACATCTGTAAGTAAGGATAATAATGGTATCTAAGGATAAATGAGACAATTTGGAGAAGTGGCTCAGAATGGTACAGTAAGTGCTCGATAAATGTGGGCCACTTTGATGTTAGGGAGTAAGGACAGGAAGGAGAACACAGAGCCCCACCTACAACCAACCAGCTGCCTCTCCTGGATGCTTGCCTGGGCTCCATTTCCCCCACCCACCCAGGATTTATGCAGGGTGCTTCTGGTTAAACTCTACCTATAGGATTCTTGCTGGGGGAGGATGCCAGGGTATTAGAAATCAGCTGGGAGATGCTGGTGACCGTGGAACTGCTGTCAGGTCGTTGGATATTGAAGGCTGGAGGTTTTAATGAAATTTACTTAGCAGGGTTGTTGCTAAAATGGAATAATGTAAAAGTGAATGTGGAATTCCAAAAGTCTTGCCTTGTTGAAAAAAACTTTAGGGAGCCTGAGTAGAGTTTGCCCTAGGATAGAACATTTCTTAAGAGAGAAGGAAGATTGTAAAGGAAGGAGGGTCTGAGTGAAGACAGATATTACCCTAGTTAGATGATTAAGGAACTTAGAACAATACTCCAACGTACAAGTAAATTAACTCACCAGTCCTTATTTTTCTGAAGACCTGATTCACAAGTGTGCCACCTGTGGCCAGGACCTTGTGGGACAGCTCACCAGAACAGGAAGGCAACTGCAGCTGCCCTGCCTGGCCTCTGCTAGGCTTTGCACATCACACACTATACATGCCGTCAGCTCAGTTATCACTCTGGAGCTGCAGAGGCTCTGCAAATACTCCATATTCATACATTACTATAAACCAAGATCATGACCCTGGATGCTGCTGCATGGCAGGAAATCACAGTAGTTTCCAAAGCAAGAGGTCAGGTATCATGTAGCCTCAGTGGTAATGAAGCTGGGGTCTCAGTGTGACATGGTAGGGAAAAAAGAGACTTGATCACCCCAACTTAGGGCTCCCAACCACCTGGCAGGACCTTATCCAAGACAGGCAAAGAACCTGCCACCTCAATGCTGCCATAGGAAAAGCCACTTTCAATGAGCACCTCTCAGCCTCTTGTCAGTCACATATGACATTAGGAGTTAATTGCACAGCATACATTGTACAACACTTATGTGCTAGTGCTTACTTGTAGTCAGGTCTCTGTGTGACCCTTCCACATACTCAGTCGTTCTTTCCACAAATATGTGCTGATACCTAGGGAGCACTGGGTGTCACTGTAGGAGCTAAGGACTCTCTCAGCAGACCCAGCCTCTCCCTTCACACAGTTCATGTTCTAATAAAGGAATCAGGCCAGTGTGGCCTCCAGTTGGGACAGTGGGGTAGGGAATGTGGCCACGTGGCTGGGCTCTTCTCCTTCTGGCTTACAACCCTGTTCATGTGAATGTTGCCAGCAACATGTCCCAGCACAGCCACCCAGCCACAGAGTGGGGCCTATTCCAAGCCCAGGTCCATTGTCCCCAATCCCAATTCTGCTAACTTCCCCACATGGTTTTTCTGATCCTGCATCCTCCTCTCTAGGTCAACCCAGGACGCCAGGACCACAGGCTGAACCACTTCCGAGTCTACAAGGACATCACTCTGTACAAAGCTAAATTGTGGAGCCTGGGAGAAGATGACCTCCACAAAAAGTCTCTGAGCAGTGATGTCTGACCCTGTATTTAATGCCCAAAGTGTGCACTGCACTGCAAAATAAACATTACTTTATTTAAAGCAGAAGTTTAAGTGGTTTTATCTGTAGTCTTACATTTCTCAATTCTGCCCAAATCTATTGGTTCAAATCCTTACCTTTTAACCAAATGTGAAAATTCTAGGATATGATAGCAGCCTATTGCATGTACATCTTGGCCTTTTCAAACACAAACAAGGATGGCAACACAGGCCAGGTGTGGTGTTAACACCCTATACATCCAAGCCTAGATTTGTAACCTGGAGTGTTACTCTCTAGAACACCCTAATGAACCCACATATTACCACTTGCGGTAACTTTAAGGGAAGAGACCAGGGAATTTGTTTCCCCATCCTGCTACCACCCCCTGATCCTGACCCTCTCTCTGCTGAGGTAGCACCTGCCTGAGAATCGCAACCTCTCAGACTCTGCTCAGCCCAAACAGCCGGTGCCCACGTCTGCACTACCACCTGGGCCATAGCTCCTGCAGGGTGAGCACATAGCAAAGTGGGTCCGTGTCAGCAGAAATCTAATCTCTCCACCCAAAGGGGCTGCACTGCCCTGAGAAAAGTGCTGAAGGGTTGAGGAAGGCCATACTCTTTGCTCACTATTTGAATTACTATACATTCTCCCCATTCTCTAATATTGTACAGATTGTCAAAAAGAGGTCACAGTAAATATTTTTTCTGAAATATCTTCTCAAATATTTTCTGAAACATTTTTCTGAAATATGACCTGCGTGACCAAAATTTTGTTAGTTGAAATGAGTTTTCCCAAATTAATTCATTTTTAGTTCTCATTTACCAGTGATGCTACTAGAAAGAAGAAAATGTGAAAATAGATTTTTTTTTTCTGTTTAAGGATACCACATAGTTCTCAGTTATTTCTACCTTCCCTAAAAGTATAGTTTCAAACAATAATTCACATCCTGGAAGATGCAATAAGATATTGTCTCTACAGAATTAAGTAAAATTATGTGAAAAAGAACCAGTGAGAGAATGAAGAAGAATTGAGGTACTAAATGAAATGATAACTATACTTAAGTAGTAAATGAAATTCTTAGAAAAAAGAATCAAGCAAATATTTTCCCCAAAGTAAAACTGTAACATAAACTTAGAAGTTATTAGTAGAAGAGGCTCAATATTTGACTAACAGAAACTGCAAAATTAGAATGATGAAAATGGGGTGGGAAGCTTATCAAATAAAATTTTCCAAAATGAAGAATTTGAGTACTTCCAAATACTCTAATCCAATAAAACAGGCCCACATCAAGGCCTGTCACCACAGTATATTATACTGGCAGGAAGAAGAAAAGCTTCCAGAGAGAAGGAGAGCGCAAGTGACACCCAATTTCCCAGTAGAACACAGGAAGCTTTAGCAGCCTCCTTTACAGGAGGTAAAGCAGCAGGTAGGTGCCAGCCACAACCTAAGGGAGATGTCACACCAGCCCCATTAAAGGTTATTTCATAAAGTTTATCTCTTATTTTCCCTTCTATTAAGAAACTAGAAAATGAAATATAATGAAACAACCATTAAGCAAAAGAAAGAAACTGAACCCTTATCTCTCACTGATTACAAAAAATAATTCAAGATGCGGAAATGATTTAACCATAAGGCATAAAACCAAAATAATTTGAGAAGAAAATGCAGGCTTGGCGAGGTAGCTCATGCCTGTAATCCTAGCACTCTTAAATGCCAAGGCAGCTGGATTGCTTGAGCTCATCAGTTAGAGACCAGCCTGAGAAAGAGACTCTGTCTCTAAAAACAGCTGGGTATAGGAGTGGGTGTCTGTAGTCCCAGCTATGTAGGAGGCTGAGGCAAGAAGATCTTGTGAGCCCATGATTTGATATTGCTGTGAGCCATGATGCCAGGGCACTGTACCTCTAATCCACTGTACCTCTAATACAATAAAACAGGCCCACATCAAGGGTGGGAAATAAGGGTGACAAAGTAAGACTCTGTCTCAATATATATATATATATATATATATATATATGAAAATAAAATGCAGGAAAAATTGTTAAGACATTGACCTAAGCAAAAAATTTATGACTAAAACCTCCAAAGACAACTACAGGAGCAATAAAAGCAGATAAATAAAATTTTATTAAACTAAACAGCTTCTACCAATCAAAGGAAATAATCAACAAAGCAAATAGGTGACTTACATAATGGGAGAAAAGATTCACAAACTATACATCTGACAAAGGGATAATATTCAGAATCTACAAAGAACTCAAGCAAATCAGCAGGAAAAAAATAAACAACCCTATTAAAAAGTGGATAAACATATGAACAGAAAGTTTTTAAAGAAGATAGATAAGTGGCCAACAAGCATATGAAAACAATGTTTCATGTTTCATTAGGGAACTGCAAATTGAAACCGCAATGAGAATAGAATGATTTTTATTAAAAACTACACAAACAATAGATGCTGTGGTGGATGCATTGAGAAAGGAACACTCGTACACTGTGGGGCTGCAAATTAGTACACTCTCTGTGGAAAACAGTATGAAGATTCCTCAATGGAAGAAATGTGAGCTTGCCATTCAACTCAGCAAAGGAAAAGAAGGTATTTTGTCAAAAAACATCTACACTCCACATGTTTACTATAGCACAATTCACAAACACAGAAAATGAGTGGATTAATAAAATGTGATATGTAAATATATAGTGATATAGGTATATATATACACCATGGAGTAACTCTCAGCCATACAAACAGATAAATTAATGTCTTTTGCAACAATTTAGATGAAATTAGAGACCACTATCCTAAGTGAAATATCTCAAAAATGGAACAAAAAAATCACATGTGCTCTCTACTAATTTGAAACTAATCAACAGTTACCCGTGGACACAGAAAGTAATTAGAAATCAAGAAGGGAGGGGAAAGAAAGGTAAAGACCTATCTATCAGGTACAAAGAACACTATTCAAGTGATGGACACATTAGTAGCCTTGACTAAAGCATTAAAAAAACTACCATGTAACAAAAACATTTGTACCACTTGCATGTTTTGAAAGACAAAAGAAGCTTAAGCTAAGAAATGGGATCTTCACATGGATGGAGCTGGAAAATGTTCTTATTAGCAAAGTATCACAAGAATGGAAGAAAAAGTATCCAATGTACACACCCCTATTATCAAACTAATTTATACCTTTTATATGAAAGCTATAACCTAATAACAGCCTAAGAATAGGGGGAGGGGGGGAGAGGGGAGGGGGGAATGGGTGGAGGGAGGGGGTTTGGAGGGATCACTTCTGAGGTTTATCTTACAGGGGTACAGGTGAATCTTTCTAAGAGTAGAATGTGAACGTTTTAAAACAATAACTAAGAAAATGACGTGAAGGGTATGTTAACCAGTTTGATGGAAGTGTTTCAGATTGTGTGTGAAAACCCCACACTATACCCCAGAAGTGCATTAATGTACATAGTTACCATTCAATAAAAATTTAAAAAAAAAAGAAATGGGATCCAGGAAATAATGGAGCCAACCTAGAAGGTGGAGAAAAGAGACAAGTGATGGTGTGGCACAGACCAAGGATGTAGCTGAAAAATTATAAGGGAAATAAAATAATGAAGCAATCCAAAATCCACTAAAGATATAGAAGGAAAATTTGGCAAGCAGAAACATATAAGGTAATGATTAACTTGAGGAAAACTCAAAACTGGAACACACAGGAAATCTTATCACAATTGATCTAACATTACAAGGATGGTGATATGAATATTTGGATAGATGGAGAATAGGAAGGGATGGAGCTATAATTTATATCTTCATTTATCACAGAAGGTAGGAAACTAGTACTTAATGTCTAAATTCATATCCATAAACAGCAATATTATTCTATATTCAGATTAACATCTAAAACTTTAGGTTCATTTTCTTAATTTTTTATTAAATCATAGCTGTGTACATTAATGCAATTATGGGCTGGTTTTATATACAATTTGAAATACTTTCATCAAACTGATTAGCATAGCCTTTATGGCATTTTCATAGTTATTAGGTTAAGACATTTATTTTCTACACTTAGTAGATATAACCTGTACCCTTGTAAAATGCACCAAAGGTGAGATCTCACCAATTACCCTCCCTCCTCCCCTCTCCTCCTCCTCCTCTTTCTCCTTCATCTTGGGCTGTAGTTGGGTTATAGCATTCATGTGGAAGTGTGGATGCTTATAAATTGGTTTCATAATAGGGCTGAGTACATTGAATACTTTTTCTTCCATTCCTGAGATACTTTACTAAGAAGAATATGTTCCAGCTCGATCCATGTAAACATAAAAGAGATAAAGTCTCCATCTTTTTTAAGGCTGCATAATATTTCATTGTGTACATATGCCACAATTTATTAATCCATTCATGGGTCAATGGGCACTTGGAGTGCTTCCATAACTTAGCAATTATGAATTGGCCTGTAATAAACATTCTGGTGCAAATATCTTTAGTATAAAGTGATTTTTTGGTTAAATTGCAGGATCGAATGGCAAGTCTACGTTTAGATACCTAAGAGATCTCCAAACATCTTTCCAAAAAGAATGTATTAGTTTGCATTCCCACCAGCAGGGCAGAAGTGTTCCCTTTTCTCCACATCTATACCAACATCTCTGGTTTGGGAATTTTGTGATATAGGCTAATCTTACTGGAGTTAGATGATATCTCAAAATGGTTTTGATTTGCATTTCTCTGATGATTAAGGATGATGAACATTTTTTCATTTGTCTGTAGACCATGCACCTGTCTTCTTCAGAGAAGTTTCTCTTCAAGTCCCTTGCCCACCCTGAGATGGAATCACTTGTTCTTTTCTTGCTAATACGTTTGAGTTCTCTGTAGATTCTGATTAGTAAACCTTTGTCAGGGAGCAGAGATAAGATGGTGGACTGCAGCTACCTTTCCACAGAGGCTCCCATAAAGAAGGAGACTTAAAAGACAGAAGTTTAGCAAGTAACCCAATGGTTTGGAGCTGAGCCAAGAGAG